GTGCTGGTGGCAGCACGGTCGTCATTCATGACTCACATGAAGACGAATCGGCTCGAGCAGCTGCCCATCTCTTGGCTACTGATGACATGGGCGTCATGGGTGGCTCCGCAGAGGAAAGTGAACTCGACACTGCTGCCACTGGCGGGACTGCCAGTCTCCACGTCTTGCCGACATCATCAGCCACCCGTTTGTGGTCATCTTCGGCGGCAACCTCCGGTGTCGTCTATCCCGTGCGACATGATTCGGTGGCAATATTTTTCCGCCACGTCTACCAGCTGTCCATCTCGAGATTGCGTGCTCTGTGTGACCGACTGGGACTGCCCATGGATGTTTTAGCCAAAATATGGACCTGTTTTGAGCACATTCTAGTTCATAACACGGACCTCTTGAAAGATAGGTGTCTGGACCAGATTCTACTCTGTTGCATTTATGGAATTTCGAAAGTCGTACTCCATCGCCCCTTCACTTTCGTTGAGCTCGTTCAGGTAAATGCAGTTTACACCGCCCTCCCTCTCTTTTGATTTGATCTATAAAGGAGGTTTAGCAGGTCTATTTTATCTGCACCCATTATTTTATTTGCTGCGTCTTCGCATAGGTTGTTCCTTTTGGTTTTGCGTGCTATATAAGCATGTTTAGTATTAAGAAATAAGTAGGTAGTTACGCAAAGTCATTAATGCAGTGTTGTGACCTACTGTTCTTTGGCAGCTACCCCCGGTGTCGTCTATCCCGCTCGGCAGGCTTTTTTTCTGCATCCATTATTGTGTTCGTTGCACCTTGACATAAGCTGTTCTTTTTCGGTTGTGTCTGCTAGGTAAACATTTCAAAGCTACAAATGATATAAACGCTAGTGATTTTGAGTATTGCTGGCGGCATTATTTCAGCCGCTTGCTTGCGTAGTCTCAAGCCGTAACCGGCCTAAGGAGTCGCAGCCTTTAAATATTCCCTCGACCGAAATCGTAGATAGTCAAGTCAAGTCAAGTCAAATTTATTAAAGGAAATATAGGCAAACGCCT